ATAAATGATCGGTGGATTGTGGAGGCCAAAGCAGGCTGTGACTTTGACCGTTGAGGTTGGAAGAGGCCAAATTTTGACCGCCTAGTCACAGTTGGCTCTGATTTTGACCTCTGTCTCTGCTTGGTCCGTGCAGGCCACAAGTTATCGTAAATTTAATGACGGAGGTTGCAAGTGGTTGTGGCTTTTTATAATAAGATAAATAAATAAAATGAAATAAGATGTTTCTGTGTTAAAAGGAAAGAACTAATAAAATGTTGAAAATATAGTCCGACAGATTGTCCACTTCAACGTCCACAACTGCTTTTGCAAGCTGTGAATGGAGGGTGAAACTCAGCATTGAGCTGGTATTAACAGCAGTGCTAGCATGTCACATGTTGCTAGCGTAATCCTTGAAATGGCTTTCTATTACACATAGATTAATCCTGAAATGACTGCTTACTCCTTATAGTTAGTGTTCGTTCCAAGAACAGTAAAATATAACCGAAATGAACCAAACTCAGGAGTACTGTAGTATTCTCGGAATACTGCTAATTTGTCGTTGTAACAAAAAATTTTGCACATAAGCAAAGTCCACGGGGAAGGATCTGAATTTTCCTGGAATTTCTGTTTTGCTCTACTGCCTCTCTTCCTACAGAATCTCCCTTTCTTCAGACTGGATGAGCCAGTCAGCAGCACAGCGTTACGGTTCGTCTGCATAGCGGACACGCATGGAAGGCTTGGCGATATTGTTGAACGCATCCCAGGTGGCGATGTGCTCATTCACGCCGGTGACATGACGAATTTTGGTGAAAAGGAGGAACTTAACAAATTTAATGATACCATCGGTTCGTTATCTTGCCGATCGGTTTCGTTTATGGTAATTTTTTCACAGTTTTATCTCGAAAGTCTTGCGGGAGAATCACTGAAATCTAATTCAGGAAGCAGAAAATCCAGAAAGCTGGAATTTTAAGAGACTGTTCCCTCCCAACGTAACACCAAAAGATTTAAAATTTAGCCTCTTAATGTGAGTGAGTCTCACGTACAGACGTGTGAAAGTTCTGACATGAAATTTATTACTCGGGAACCAGAAAAGCTAGAAAGCTGATTTTCTAAGGGAATGTCCCCTGCCCACGAACAAAAATTTTCAAATTCAACTTCGTGGTACACCTGGGTTCGATGAACTAATAAATTTTCGGCAGTCATGCGTGCTGCAAGTTTGGATTTCGTGCAACTGCATGGTGCAGAACTACTGCTCCAGGCAACGCGGGACCGCGTGTTAAACTGGAAAGCGACAGCCATTCAAGTTGTTGGCGATCTGGCTACTTGATCCTTTTGTTTTTTCACTCGATAAATATTATTTCAGGAAAGTTACCTCACAAGCACAAAATTGTTATTGCGGGTAATCATGATCTTGGCTTTGAAGATGGCGAAGATGAGAGTCGGCGTGATCTCCCCTACAGGGGTCATGGCACCGCACGCGGCTATAAGTTATTAACTAATTGTACATATCTTCAGGACTGCGGAGTGAAGGTGAGGATATTTCCTCTCTAGTTTTGTGAGTTGAAGTCCAGTGGGACACGAGTATTTGCTTGAATTATTGATCAATTTTTGTTGTTCGTTGAGATCTATTCAGAGGTAGTTCATACGCCGCCATAAAATATTACGAAAAATAGAATAACACAAAAAGGGTTACGGGAAAAAGCTCCTAGCCGCTAAAGCAACTTCGTCATGTCCTAGGAGTAACAACAATCTCGAAAAAACGTAAGTCTTGCCAGGTACTTCTGTCGGAAGAACTGCAGAGCTGTTGACCTAAAATTTTTATGTGGCTGTACGTGGGAACTAAATTTGAAGTTGTGAGGTCCCTGCGTAGGCAGGAAACATCCTCCTGAAATTTCAACCTTCGGTTTTGGAACATTCCTCTGAAATTACAGCTTCCTAGCTTTTGTGATTCCCGAGTTGAAGGAGAGGGACAAAACGCCCTCGAACAAACAAACAGAGCGTTACAAAACGCATAATAAAACGAAATTGACTGAGATGCAAGTACAGCCATTATGTTAGTGAGGTATAAAAACAAACTAAGCGAGGTAAGCATAGCGATTTGTTTAAGCAAGGAATGTATGAATTTGGTTCACGGTGACTGTTGCTGTCAATGTTTGTATGTTACAGATATGTGGAATCCACGTGTATGGCTCCTCGTGGCATCCATTGCCTGGATATTCTTTTTCTCGTAATCGTGGCAAGGATCTTTTGGAAAAATGGAATCGGATACCGG